GGGTCATCCTGAAATGTATTACTCCCCTTTGATGCTCTCAGTGACAGTACCAGTAATACATTTTGCGCATAGTGTCTTCTATATGTTTTAACTGTGTATAAGGTGCATAAAGGCCAAAGAACACCAAAGCTATCTGATATGGGAAAAAACACCTTATTCATAAAGAAAGAAGTTCATGATACCCCAGGCTACAATGTTTACATGTTGCTACAATATGTCTTAACATCAAGCTGAATCTTGAAATGTTAGAATACTAATAAACAATTAGTTGTTTTAAAGTATTTTATTTGGGTTTCGACACATGCAAACACAAAGTAGGGCATAATTAAAAAGTGTAAGTAAACTGAGAAAATATTTAGTAAAAATCTGTAAGTATGCTGTGCACGTTACTCTTCATGCAGAATGAACACATATGCACAACATACTGCAGGTCTACATCATCATATCCTAATAAAATACACAAAGCTTTTTGACGGAATATATAGTGTAGGTGATAAAAGGTTTTGAAAGAATCTGTTTCTATACTATTTCACTTTCTAAATGAATTTTTCTTTTTGATTTGTTAGTAAGCATGCAATTTAAGAAATATAGTTTAATCTAAGTAGTCCATGCAACAGATAAAGCAATTCATATTAATCTCTAAAATACATCATTTATTGTTCTAAAGATTTTGCTGATATCATGGTTTTCCTGCTGTGAGAAAAATCATTTAAATCTCTTCTTGTCCTGCCTATTTTACACAACAGACCCAGCAGATGAATGAATACAGGCAGCACATTTCTTAGTTTTTTTTTTTTGCTCCCAGGACCATGCATCTGGGATGTGTTCCAGCTCGACTAAAACTGATTAATAGTGGCTTTAATACCACAGAATGCTGATTGCAAACCCGGCATCTGCGTGTCTTGAAACATGCTCCTTCCAGTCTCATCATTGGGATGTGTGTTTTGGCGAAGTTAATGAATAAGTCATTAGGAGGTGACTATGATTGATGGGTTTGAAACAAACAAGCTAATATCAGCTGCTGCTTAAACCAGTGAGGATTCCAGACTGCAAACTCCAGGTGAAGCAACTGCAGCCTGTGCAATGAGTGCTTTATGTGCCTTTGCAACAAAGTCAGAATTTTTTTTTATTTTCTGAGTTCAGACATTTTTTCCCCCGGTGATTTTGGTGAAGCAGGTGGCAGATCATTCAGAAGCAATTTCTAAAACACTGAGATAAGGGGAGAAGCTAGGATTTTCTGAATATTCTGGCTTAAATAAGCTTCAATTTGGTTTCACAAAAGCAGTACCACAAAAGTTACTTTGGTGATTTCATTTGAGCTAGCCTGCTCCAGATCAGGCTAATCAGCCAGGCTAAGTAAATCCTTATATGTTCAGTCAGTGGTCACATCGATTAGAAACCAATGGCTCTATCCGAATACCTCAAAGCAGTAATGACATTAAAGGCAGGGTGGAAGTGCCTCCTCGATCGCCTTAATTAAAGCTATCAAAATAGTAATGTCAGTTAGGAAGGAGCTATGGAGCAATGTAGCTATGTTTAAGGACCTATAGAGGTCTCTTGTTGTCACTACATGCTATAAGGTTGCTCACAATCCTTATGCATGACAGACTTAGGAGAAGATCTCCTCATGGAATAGAATAAAAATCTGGGCTTTTAGGTGATTAAAAAATCTAATACATTTTGTGATTTATGATTTGTGATTAATGAATCTAATTAATAGCATTTTAATCTAATTTCTGATAAAGCAGCCATGGTGAACAATGTTCCTTAAGGGCCACAGTCCTTTAAGTTTTCCATTCAAACCCTTTTCCTACACAGCCTATGAAGTTTTGTACAGTGACTCGTTGATTAGAATCTGTAATGACCAGAGAACAGAATGCCCAGAAACCAAACAGATAACAACAAGAGACATTTAAACAGTTTGTTGGAATATAAAACTGCCGTCGGCCAGTAGGGATTAGCCAGAGTAGACAGCCAATTAAATGACACAGAACAGAGAACCCAGTATTTAAGGCCAGACAGACTGTGGGATAGCTCAAAAAGCATTTACTTAAAACACGGATCGGAGTAGCAGTGGCTAAGGCATCTAAGGCTGGAAACTCTGGTTTACAAGTTCAGTCCATACCCAGAGAACGAGGTAGGACCCAGCCGGTGGGCTGCCAACCAGATGCGGCAGGTGCCGTCTAGAGTGTCCAAGATGCCACAGCCCCAGAGAACATGCAGGAGTCTGAAGGCAGATCAGACAAACAGATCAGAACAGGAACAGGCAGGCTCAGTGGTTGAGAGGCAGGAAAGGTCAGGATCAGGAATTCAGAAACACCAAGGAATTCTAAAAACACCCTCACCACTGTCTAAAGAGAACAAGAATAATCTGCCATTATGACTGGGAGAAGCACCTTAAATAGAGGTGCAGCAGGCGGATCAGATGAGCAGTGATTGGAAACCGGGCAGATTTAACAGGTGAACGAAATGCATTATTAAGCCAGACATCAGCTCTAAGACCATGACAACCAAAGCTTCTGGAAGAAGATTGGACAGTTGAGTGACAAAGCAGAAAGAGAGGGCAACGTTTCCTATGTTAAATTCAGGTTCACGAACCTTCTCAGAGTTTGAGGACAAACTTAGAGAGTTTCTGAAGAAGGTAGTTGGTGTGTGATGTCACTGTTTTATCAGAAGGCTCCTTAATCCATCCAGGTTGGTTTGGAGGAATCCTTATTTGATAGTTAATCGTTGGTCCAGGGGATTGCACAGGGTCAGAAACGTGAGAGAAGAGACAGGCAGAATGATCAAGGGGAGAAAATAGGGAATGGAAATCGAGAGCCGGTCCAAAGTCATAGGTGATCTAAGATCCAGAGACAATCCAGACAATAGATACATTTAAATTAATTAGTAATTAAATCAATTATGTATACATTTATAATTTTTTATGTAGACATTGTTACTGTTCACTTGTGGTTTTAAAGATTGCTGTTTTTTTATCTATTTTCTGGGCAAGGCATCTGTTTTTTGTGCAGACTGATGGGTCCCGAAATTCAGCAACTCAATGAACTTGCCTTGACTATTACACTCTAAATCTGTGTTGAGCTCAGATTTTCAGCTAGAGTTATGTTACTAAATGCTGTAGGAGATGCTGGAAATCTTAACAAAACCACTAGTTAGCACACAATAGGAAGTATGTATTCAGCAGCAAACGTTTCTCAGCCATGGAAGAATTGACTACAACAAGAATGGATTTTACAATATTGCATGTATGATATACTAAGTTAGTTTGGAACAGGTTGGGAAAATATCTGAGTATATCTGAAAGTATATATATACACTCACCGGCCACTTTATTAGGTACCCCTGTCCAACTGCTCGTTAACACTTAATTTCTAAGCAGCCAATCACATGGCGGCAACTCATTGCATTTAGGCATGTAGACATGGTCAAGACAATCTCCTGCAGTTCAAACTGAGCATCAGTATGGGGAAGAAAGGTGATTTGAGGGACTTTGAATGTGGCATGATTGTTGGTGCCAGAAGGGCTGGTCTGAGTATTTCAGAAACTGCTGATCTACTGGGATTTTCATGCACAACCATCTCTAGGGTTTACAGAGAATGGTCCGAAAAAGAAAAAACATCCAGTGAGTGGCAGTTCTGTGGGCGGAAATGCCTTGTTGATGCCAGAGGTCAGAGGAGAATGGCCAGACTGGTTCGAGCTGATAGAAGGGCAACAGTGACTCAAATAACCAGCCGTTACAACCAAGGTGGGCAGAAGAGCATCTCTGAACGCACAGTACGTCGAACTTTGAGGCAGATGGGCTACAGCAGCATAAGACCACACCGGGTGCCACTCCTTTCAGCTAAGAACAGGAAACTGAGGCTACAATTTGCACAAGCTTATCGAAATTGGACAATAGAAGATTGGAAAAACGTTGCCTGGTCTGATGAGTCTCGATTTCTGCTGCGACATTCGGATGGTAGGGTCAGAATTTGGCGTCTACAACATGAAAGCATGGATCCATCCTGCCTTGTATCAACGGTTCAGGCTGGTGGTGGTGGTGTCATGGTGTGGGGAATATTTTCTTGGCACTCTTTGGGCCCCTTGGTACCAATTGAGCATCGTTGCAACGCCACAGCCTACCTGAGTATTGTTGCTGACCATGTCCATCCCTTTATGACCACAATGTACCCAACTTCTGATGGCTACTTTCAGCAGGATAATGTGCCATGTCATAAAGCTGGAATCATCTCAGACTGGTTTCTTGAACATGACAATGAGTTCACTGTACTCAAATGGCCTCCACAGTCACCAGATCTCAATCCAATAGAGCATCTTTGGGATGTGGTGGAACGGGAGATTCGCATCATGGATGTGCAGCCGACAAATCTGTGGCAACTGTGTGATGCCATCATGTCAATATGGACCAAACTCCCTGAGGAATGCTTCCAGCACCTTGTTGAATCTATGCCACGAAGAATTGAGGCAGTTCTGAAGGCAAAAGGGGGTCCAACCCGTTACTAGCATGGGGTACCTAATAAAGTGGCCGGTGAGTGTATATTGTATTAACATACAACGGTGAAAGTAAGTAAGCTGGAAAGATTTGTTTGGTTTATTTCAGTCTTTTGCAGAGTGAGCATTTGTAAGATCAAAGTCAAAAGTCAAAAAGTCAAAAAGCCTTTATTGTCATTATATTCTGTGACAGATACAATGAGATTTGGGACTTCCATAACAGCTACCGTGAAATAAAAATAAAATAAAAAAAAATATAAAAAATATATAGATATATTAAAAGGAAAAGGAAATGTAAACAGTTACAACAAATATATATAAATATATTAAAAGGAAATGTAAACAGTGAAAAGGAAATGTAAACAGTGAAAAGGAAATGTAAACAGTACTGGCACAGATTGGGGGGGGGATAGTGCAAAACAGGTGTAAAGTGACCGACAGTGCAGGTCGGAGTTGAGGGGGGGCAATGGCTTGGGGAATAATGCAAACCAGGTGAAAAGTGTCCGTCAGTGCAGGTCGGAGTTGAGGGCGGCAATGGCTCGGGGGAAGAAACTGTTCTTGAGTCTGTTTGTCCTGATCCTCATTTGCCTGTAGCGCCTTCCAGAGGGCAACAGGTCAAACAGGGTGGAGCCAGGGTGGGAGCTGTCCTTGGAGATGGCCCTGGCTCTGCTGAGGCACCGGGTGGAGTAAATGTCTGCCAGGGAGGGGAGAGGGCGGCCGATAATCCTCTGCGCTGCCTTTATCACCCTCTGCAGCCTCTCCCTGTCGGCAGCGGTGGAGCTGCCGAACCATACTATGATGCAGTAGGTCAGCAAGCTCTCGATGGAGGAGCGGTAGAAGGCCAGCAGCAGATCAGAGTTGAGGTTATACCTTCTGAGGATTCTCAGGAAGTGTAACCTTTGTCGGGCCTTCTTGATGATGGTGGTGATGTTCTCTGACCAGGTGATGCGGTCAGAGATGTGGACGCCGAGGTATTTGACGCTGTGAACCCTCTCCACCTGCTCGCCGTTGATGAAGAGGGGAGCTGGCTCAGGGCTGTGCCTCCTGAAGTCTATGATGAGCTCGTTGGTTTTCTTGGTGTTCAGAGTCAGATTGTTCTCTGAGCACCAATCAGCCAGCTTCAGGACCTCCTCTCTGTAGGCAGCCTCGTCGCCCCTGGAGATGAGACCGACCACAGCGGTATCGTCGGCGTACTTGATGATCCGGTTGTGGTTGTGGATCGGTCTGCAATCGTGGGTGTAGAGGCAGAAGAGGAGGGGGCTCAGCACACAGCCCTGTGGGGAGCCGATGCTCAGCGTGCGGGTGGAGGAGAGGTGTGGGCCAACTCTCACAGCCTGGGGTCGGTCGGTCAGGAAGTTGTTAATCCAGGCACATGTGAGAGGGGGGAGTCCAAGGGAGCCCAGTTTGATGATGAGTCTGTCCGGGAGGATGGTGTTAAAGGCCGAGCTGTAATCCACAAAGAGCATCCGGACGTAGCTCTGCTGCTGCTCCAGGTGGTTCACAGCAGAGTGGAGAGCTACGGCAACGGCGTCCTCTGTGGAATGGTTGGCCCGGTATGCAAACTGTTGGGGATCCAGGTGTGGGGGGAGACAGTCCTTGATGTGCTGAAGAACCAGCTTCTCAAAGCACTTCATGATTACCGGAGTGAGGGCCACTGGGCGGTAATCATTCAGGCTGGTGATGGCAGACTTCTTCGGCACCGGGATGATGGTGGAGGTTTTCAGGCGGGACGGAACGGTGGCTTGGGCCAAGGACAGGTTGAAGAGCCTGGTGAAGGTGGGGGCGAGCTCGCCCGCGCATGCTTTTAGCACCTTGCCAGGGACTCCGTCGGGGCCTGCGGCCTTCCTGGGGTTCACTGCCAGGAGCACCCTCCTGACGTTGTGCTCCTGGACAGTGAGTGGGGGGGTGTCAGCGCTGGGTGGGGGAGGGGACAGGTTAGGGACAGGGGAGGGCCGCTGGGATTCTCCAAACCGAGCAAAGAAGCTGTTTAGCTCCTCTGACAGCTGTGCGCCCTGTTGTTCAGTTTGAACGACGCTGCCCCTGAAGTTGGTGATCTCCTGGATGCCCTGCCACACCTTACGGGTATTTTTACTGGACAGGTGGGACTCCAGCCGTTGTCTGTGGTCTGCTTTAGCCTCTTTGACCCCTCTCTTCAGCTCAGCTCTGGCAGCACTATACAGAGTATGTAAACATTGTAGCCTATAGGGAGCCAAAGGTGCCAAAATGTGCCCCTTTGAACATGTATTTGGTAAAAAAAGTCTCAAACAATTGTTCTGTGGTGAATTCTCCTCACTAGTCTCCTGTCTACTAAGCCTAACTTTACAGTATTCATATGCAAACCTAAAGTCACAAGACTAACACCTAAACCTAACTTCACAGGACTTAGAAGTAAATCTAAAGAATCCAATGGTCAAATAGATGTAGTTCCCCACAACTCACAATAAATCATGGTTCACAGAATGTGGTCTAACCCCAGGCATGTCCCACAAGGGGGAGGCACAGGGGATGGCCCAGGGGATGCTGGGGGGACCGTATCTGTCGGATGGCCCTGGAATGCCTCGGGCTTTCCTCAGAGGAGCTAGAGGAGGTCTCTGAGGAGAGGGAAGTCTGGGCACCTTGCTGAGATTGCTTCCCACTGTAACACTCTCACAGAGAAGTGGAAGGACTATAAATAAAGGAAAATAAATAATACTTTATTTACTCTTAATGTTTAGAAATGGCATGGTAAAAAATATGTATAACAGTGAATTGAAAGATCTTAACTCATAAATAAGACTTTTTCAGTACTAACTGTGTTTTTGTATGTCGTCCTCCACTTTATGTTTGTGAATTTCTTTGTAAAGCTCAGAAATGCACACATGCATAGGTCCTCCTGGTTGTACCAATAACTTCAAACCTCTTTTGAAGCAAAAATGTAGAAATCAGAACGAGGCCTTTCAATTCCTTGTGGAGACAACTGAAAGAGTGACAAACCTTTTTAAACTTTGTATAAGTTAATATTTGCTGTTTCAGTGTTGAAATAAAAAATCTTTATGGACTTACACAGGATATCTTTGGGATAATAGGATTTTTGCTGATAAATTGAAATAATAAAGTAAGCAAAACTTTTTAAAGGCGACAAATACTTTTAGTGAGCTTCACAGAAGTGTGTTTGTTTTGTTTTTTCTCTGGAAGATAAATTCATCTCTAAAAACCGAAGGATTCATCACTCAAATTAATGTTTGATGGATTATGAAACTGATTAGGAAGAGCAAATGTTGCTGGTAGAGCAAATTTAGAAGTCTAATGAGAAGCATGTATTTATGCACCAACTGTTTGTTTATACCTATACTCAGTGTCCTCATTTATCACAGCATTAAATATTCGTTAAATTTATTTAGAGAATTAAAGATTTGAAACATTTAATGAATATCATCTTAGCAGTCTCTTAGTCCTTGTGGTTTGGGGTTTTAAGAAGAACAAAATATTTTATGATTTGTTCCCTAAGCTTAGGTTTAGATCAGATTAGTATTTTTTTAATTAAATTTTAAATCAGCCCCAAAAAAAAAAAAACCTGGAGAAGAAAAGCTGAACAGTGGCAGAAAATAATTATATTTGATATTTTCTCTGTATATTTAAAAACAATGTTATATTTATTGTTATTTTACCAGATTTTTTTGTATTTCTTTTTTTTTCAAAAGATGTTTTTGAGATCTAAAATACTCACTAGAGTTTGAGGAAAATGAAAATCTTGAAACCTGTTTTACAGTAGTGCAAACTCAACATTTTGCCATCCCTAGGCTATAATACAGCAGTGAAAGGTAATAAGCTGCTCTAAAGACAAGTATTCATGCAGAGACAAGCTGCTGAAATAGCTTTGAGTTGCATTACTATCCAGCCCTTCAGCGAAACAATTTCCAATGAATTACAACTCTGTAAAACATAAAGTCATAAAATTCTTACCAGGCTTTTTAAAGTGTCATATTAAAATCTTCTGGAGTGCTGTGCAGTCATTGCCAACTAATATGTACACCCTAAGTAATGTCACTGAAGCATAAGGATTTTAAAGGTTGCTGGTTAAAATCTTAAAATATATATATTTTTTTTACCAGACATCTATCGTGTCCTCTGGAAGGGCTAATCCTGTCCCACACTTTGACAGTACTGGAAAGCTTCCGGCTATGTCTGTGTTGAGAACTGGCCGAGTGTGAAATAAGCAGCGGAGAACGAGTCTTTTCACATTCAGAACACAATGGATGAACAAGCAAAGCTTTAATTAAAACTTAATCAAAGCAAAACATACTCAAAATTGACATTGATATTAATCTACCCAGGACTCTCAAAATACAGTTTATAAAGTGTCCAAACAGAGATGGAAAAACTTTGCATCATCTACCACAGAAAGCAGTGCCATCCCCTGTGTTGCTTGTCACTATGGTTACATCATAACCTACTCCACCTCATTCCTATATAAAGGCTGATATGAAAACAATGTAAACATGTGGTGAAAACATTAAAGAAGTGGCCTACTAGAGCAGTAGCTGACCTCCAGTTTTTTTTAGAAAGCACATACTGGGACGTTTTCAGGACTGTGACAAACAATCTGAATTGCACAGAGTTTACAGAGGCTGTGACATCCTAGATCGCAAACCACACCTCACCCAGACTTTGTATCTTTGCTTTGCAAATAAGATAAGCCAGTTTGAATGTCTTTTCACAAGCCAACTGATCATTGTGTCTCCTCTACTCACCCTCCGCTCCACAGCATTGTTTTTCCTCCTCTCTCCCTAGAGTAGGGCAACTCCAACTTCACTCCACCCCTTCTCCTACTCTCTGCATTTCATAGATAATATCAACAGACTGTTTAAAAGGCAGAAACCCTGAAAAGCAGCTGGGCCAGACCATGTTTCCCCATCCACCCTAAAGCACTGTGCTCATTGGCTGTCTCTGGTGTTACCTATGGGTGTAAATCACACCATTCATGGCGATTCGATTCAATATCGATTTTCTGACCCAACGATTCGATTATTTTCGATACTCAAGAATACACGATACGATTCAATAAATTTTTTTTCTTTTTTCCTTACAGGCTAGACAGTGTTTCACATTTGAAATAAATCAATGAAGCTGTAATATCGTTATGCATTTCTTTTGAGAAACAGCAGCAAATAACAGAAGTAGAAAAGTTGCACTCCACTTAGGCCTATTAAAACCTCATTCACTGAAAAATAATAATACCCCTGCATTATAGATTCTGAAGGCCTTGCATAAAAAAATACTGCACAACATCAGTGCAATGAGTGCAATGCAATACCTCGGCTCCAGACGTTCCCACCCCCTCCACAGACGCTCCGCTGCACCTCTCCCAAATTGTAGCTGACCGCAGACAGGAGGCCTGCTCGTTTGGTTTTTATGACCGACATTGAAGAAAACAACTCCTGAAGTTTGACCTTCTAGAAGAGCGAGGAGCGTGAGAACACTGGGACCCTTTTTACCTGAATCTCCGCTCTTTTTGGCCCTCATGTCCCTCTGTCGTCGGAATAAACTCGCCCCCACTTCCTCTCCGCCTCGACCGTATCTAAACCCACAGTGTGTAGCACAGACCACGCTTCAATATTGAGCATAAATCAATCATGTCTATGTCAAGCTTGCTGCAACACACTGCTTTAAGAGTATATTCATGAAGCGAGGTAGGAGGGCAAAATAAGTTTAGTGCCACCGCAGCACGGGAGGGAAAATTACGTCCAGGAGCAAATGGATAAAAATAGGCCGAAGGAAAAAAATACATATAATAAAAAAAAACGAAAAACATAAACATAGCGGATGTATCGATGCATCGGATCGTCGGCTGTTGGATAGATGCATCGATGCAAAACGATTATTATTTACATCCCTGGTGTTAACAGATGTTTTTAACACCTCACCGGAGACATCACATGGCTTCAAAGCCTTCATCATCATCCCTGTTCCAAAGAAGCGAAAAACCAGAGGACTAACTGATTTTAAACACGTCGTGCTGACCTGTGTGCTAATAAAGTCCTTTCAGAAACTTGTGGTGACCAACCTTAAATCCATTACGCACCTACTTCTGGACCAGGTGCAGTTATCATACAGAGCGAACAGGTCTGTGAATGATGCAATATACATGGCCCTCCACTACATCCTGCAAGTCCTGACTCCCTGTGATGGTCTGAGCGGTCAAAGGAAGATCAGGCACAGGTTTAGATCCAAAAAAGTCTTCTTTTTATTGAACCCAAAACAAAAAACTGGGGTCAATAAAGGACAAATTACAAAGTTGGGCCCATAAAAGAGGTCAAAGTAACAGAATTTAACTCAGGCTAACAAAAAGACCTACTGAAACAAACAGACCTGCTACATGACACAAAGGGAAAACTTAAATACTGGCTGATCAGGCCACATAGAAGATACAAAGGGGGAAACACAAAAAAACCTAACTGAAATTAACAGAGGAAAATCCCATTCCCCCCCTCTTGCTGACGAGAAGTGGTGTAAACCAATTTGCAGCTTCAATGGGCTGGCTCCACCCCTTCTCCACCTCTGTTCTCCTGAAAGACTGGAGCAGCCAGCACTGAGGTGACTCAAAAACAAAGATTAAATCAAGCAGAACATAACAGTGTAAACTAAAATGTGCGCACTTATTCTAGAATACAGTGTTATGCCTTACAAAAATTTTGTAAATTAAATCCTAAATGTAAAGAAATCCCAATATAAATGAAATTAGACTTGCTGACTTAGTGTGTGTTGTGATTGAATGTTACCACATTTGGGTGGCTGTAGTTGCAGCCATCATACTCCCCAAGAACATAGACCAGAATTTTGCTCTGCTTTCAATACCATCATCCAAGCCCTGCTGCAGGACAAGCCCTCCAAACAGAGCATGCCTGATTATACCTGCAGAAGGGTTACAGTCTTACTGAGGAACAAGCATCAGCACATGAAGCTGGTAAAACAATACTATGATTCCAAGACTACCACTGTTACCCCTAAATTCTGAGTTCTTTCCCCTCTCTTTTTTTTACTGTGCATATAGAGTTTTACCTCCAACCACCAGCTTGCCAAGCTCCTTAAGTTTGGGGATGACTTACACGGTGGCCTAGTGGTTAGGGAATTTTACTTGAGATCCAGAGTATGTGAGTTCAAACCCCACTCCCACTGACTGCCACTCTGGGTCCCTGAACAAGACCCTTTACCGCACACTGCTCCCCGAGTACCACACAAAGGCAGCTCACTGCTCCCTAAGGGGATGGGTTAAATGCAGAGGGTTCATTTCGTTGCTCTGTACTGGTGACAGTGTAATGACAATAGAAAATAAAAAAATAAAAAGCTGGAAAAAAATAGACCAGACACCACTTTCATCTCTATGAAAATGCTCATAGAGATGAAAACTTAAAAAAAGAGTGCCCACTCCCACACCTCTTCCTCAACTCTCCAGTCACCACCAACCAAAATCCAAGCTAAACACCACCCCTTCACCAAGAAAGCAGAGCAGAGGATGTACATCCTGTGGCATCTGAAGAAGATCAGCTTGCCAAAGACAATAAGGGATTGCTTCGACTTCGCTGTCACTGAGTCCATTGTATCCCTCTCTATC